TACAGATATAATAATAATATAATACATGTAAATACAATAATAATAAATTTCAATCGTTTAATATGATAATTAGCATAAACCGATATTTGATCAACATAATAAATAATATCGGTATATAAAATTTTCATAGTATATCGATAATTCTGTGTACCGATACATTTTCTCAAAACAGGAGCATCGGTACATAGAGGTTCGACTGTAATATGAAAACGCCAAGTTTTGAGGAGCTTAAAACAAATGGAAACACAAAGATACCTTTCCATCGCTTCCGTTGGGAGAAGTTACTGCCGATTTTTCAGGACGAAATGAGTCATCAGCTTCCTTTGCGGAACTGTCGGCATGTGTTCCTTAAGCAATTAAATTAGTATGATGGCATAGACATAAATAAAAAAGGGGCTTACGGGTTGATCCATAACTATAAACCTCTGCATCGGTTCCATCCGCATTAATGCAACTTTTTATTATTTCCTTGGTAATTAATCCAATACATACTTTGTGTGACTCTGACAAGAGTTCATAGATTATAACTTTTCCATTAGACCATTCCCAACATCCGTGAATCTTAAATTTATCTACACGTTCTTCATAATCCTCTAAGGTGATACCCTTAGCAAGTACATATGGTATGCTTAATATAACAATTTATATCAGCAACTGGTTCAAAAAATATCAACATCAAACAAGTAAACTTACGTTACTTCATCCCATTTCGCTTTTTCATTAAATTCTCCCTTTTCCCACCACAAGTTTCGATAATAATTACAATGCATCATTTCTATCCCTAAGAATATGTCCGGAGAAGCTAGCGAAAAAAGTAGGGGTAACAATTACGTAAGTCTAACTTACACAGGGGGAGACAGAACTTGCACTACTTAGCACAACAGGTATTTGCAGACCTGGTTTAAAGTGACATTTTTGATGTTTTTGGATTTAAATTTGCTTTTGTGTCATCGCATGACATCAGCACCTTGACTAAACCAATAAAATCTGAAAATACGTATTCTAAAATGGTTAGATCGGTCATTTCTGAACAAGTTTACCTAGTACGTAAAATTCCAATTTATGCAAGAATAGAACATTTTCACACATGATTATGTTGCCATCACGGTTTAAAAGATAGGTTGATACCGGAAAGAAAACAAACTTTGATAAAACAATCCGTTTTGGATTTTTATTTTGGTAGAGTCAATCTTATCTCTCATAATAAATATGTAGAAAGATTTACTAATTCCGTTTATGCACTCCTTATGCTAAGACTTTATACTCCTTAAATTAAAATAGAATTCCTACATATAAAACAAATAAAAAAATGTAACAGTCGGAATAAATGACAATACAAACTTGTATTGAACGCCTTCTTACTGTTTACTTTTACGTACATTTATTTGTTCAAATGCAAAGGTATTTTATTGCATGATTGGTTATTTTATTGTATTTTGTTTGTTTGACCACGGAGATCACTAAAAAATGACGACCATTTCAAAGTGCCTATTGTTGTAAAGAACATATCAAACATATACACAAAGAATATTCTATTGAACCTGTCACAGAATATCCTAAATTTTATCACACGATAAAATCAAATTTAATCAAAATTGCTGACAAAAAAAAAATTTAATATATCAAAATATATAATCAATTTTTATAGTATAATGATAAAAATGTTACAAATTAAAAAGAATTAAGGTAAATATTATATGGATATGTTAATGAAAAAGATTACAAAGATTTATAATTTAATTTGGGATCATTTGATGGTTGTCGATAAGGTGGCGGAGACAACTGAGTTGGATAAATAGTTTGATCATTCGTTATTTCACTTATTGATGAATTAGTCGTATCATATGAAGTGTATGACGAGACTGAAGTTCCAGATGACATGGGCTTCGATAAAGAATGATCTGATCGATAGCTGTCAAGTCTCTTGATGTCATATGGGAAATTTAATGGTGGTATAGCATTATAACCATCTAAAGGTTTATCACAGAAATTCCTGGGATAGTCCATTGATATCTGCAAAGGATTATTGTCGAAACCACGATTCACTTGATCGAAATTTTGTTGTGAATGCTTGGAATATTGTGATTGCGTATGATATATTGGGGATGGAGCTGATATATGTTCGGGTGGAAGTGGTGGTGTGACTTGAGGTGAGATTGGTATTTGCGATGTAGAATTGATGGGTTGTTGTTTTTCAATTATGTGAGCAATTCTAACGCTTTCTTCAACATCAAAACACTCATTGAATCCATACAAATAAAATTTTATGTTGAGGAAATGAACTATTGATATGAATCTACCTTGATATGTTGGTTGAACATTTTTTGGTACAAATAGATTGATGGTGTACGTACATCCACCATGAAAATATTGTAATTCGGAACGTGGAACCACCATTCCCATGATTTGCTGATCCACGTGTTTTGAATCTCCTTGTGACGAGGAATTAAAGTTCATTGAAGTTCTTAGAATAACCTCGAGTCTTTCAATACCGACACTGGGTTGCAAGAAGTTCATTCTCATTGGAATTGATACGTAAGTGCCTAAATTCAAACTTTTATTTGGCGGTAAGATGAATGTGTAATCAATACCACTGGGAACCTCTCCCGATATTTTGTATGGTGGAGATTGTTGATTATCCAATACGATGGTCCTCTTTAGGGGACACTTTACTTTTATTGCTTGTTGTCCCGTTCCAAGCAAGGATTTTGCGTTAATGGTAGCGCGAAGTTGATAATGAATCGTTCCAACTTCGGTTGTGATTGTCTCTGGAAGGTTATAGGGAATTTGAATTTTGAAAGGAATATCAAGTATTGTGACTTCTTCGGAATCGTTGAAAGCTTCCCATATTTTATTCGATTGATCGACCAAGGGGTATTCTCCCGTATAAATGGTTTTTGACCTTGCTTGTGATCTTTGCCATGTGGTTTTTTCGGTCCCTTTGAAATGCAAATAAATACTTTTAATCTGACATGGTTTTGGATAAAATAAATGTAATGTTCCTACAAGAAAGGTATCATTATCTCCAAGGTATCCTTGTTGAAAAGAATCTGAACCTTCTACGAAAGAAAATGATATATTTTTATGAGATTTTAAATATGAGGTTTGTCTTGGCCCTTTTTTATCATTTTCGATACTGATACAAGAGCTTTTGATTGAGCTTGAAGATGAAGGTGAATTCATTCTTATGATAAAATTTTTTTTTTTTTGTATCTATAGTTAAGTTATTTCTTTTTTGTTTTTTGTTGCAAGTACATTAACTCGCAGATAGTCGGATAGAAAGTTGGTCTGTTGTGTGTTTACGTTCAAAAAATTAAAAATAAACTTGGACAAAGGAAAATATATGCCTGATAATTTGTAAATTCTTCGCAAAATGTTATGTTTATTGGACAAACAGTTGTTATGACGACGAAAAGAAATATTTTGTTAAATTGTTGAGAGAAGAAAAAAGAAATTCGGAGAATTCGAATTTTTTAAAAATATTAAACGGTTAAAAAAATCTATTCCCTATTTTTTTTTTTTTTTTTAAAAAAAAAAATTTTATTAGGAAAGAAAATTTTTTCTTTTTATAATAAAAGGTTAAATCTAGATGGATAGAGTTATATATGGTAATATATAGTGTAATAGTATGAGAATTTCAAAGATTTTTCATGTGACACATTTTCGGATTTATAATCCTTAAAATAAACTAGAGAATGTTCATCACCGAATAAAATAGAAGAATGTACGTGATATAAAATGTAACAAATAAAAATATACAAAGAATGTTTTTATAAATTTTAGAATTTTAGTAAATTACAGATGTATTACGTTTGAAAACTTTCATTGAATATTTTTTATATAGTAATAATTGAATGTCGTCCAACATAAAATAAAAGTTTTGTCTGAGGAATTCAATTCTTCTACCAATGATTCTTTTTTTTTAATTATTCAACTCTTTCGGGTTAAGCTGGTGTTTTTGAAAATCCCTTTGAAATCTTTCTTTAAATTGCGAATAAAGATATGTTTTTTTTAGTTGAATTAAAAGAAATTCTTACCCGCGTGGCAGGACAAAACATTTTGTGTTTTTTTTTTTAATAAAAAATCAAAGCTCATACACGGTCGTATTACAATCTGTTTATAGATATGGATCGAACGCATTTCATATTTAAATATACATTTGTTTTACTTAATCGGCGACTAGAATGGGTTGAATTATTAATATGATGATTGAAGACAAAAAAAAACTTTATCCGGGGAACTTTTTTGTTTGTAACAAGCAAATCATATCATGTGACTAATCTCATTCATATCAAATTTAGTTTAGCGGACTTTGTGACAACATTTGTAAACAAAAATTATTGCTTAGCTTTGACTTTTTAATTATTTTTATTATTTTTATTGCTTTTAGTGTGATCCGTTTTTTTTTTTTTTTTATAAAAAAAAAATATTTT